GAGCCAGGATCTTACTCATTGCCCTAGGTACAAGAGTCAACATCTCTCCTATTGGCTGGGTTCAGGCATGAAAGTCCGCATTGTCCCTGTGTGCTGTGTCCAGAAATGAGTCGGCATCACACCTGTGGCCAGGCCTATGTATGACAGTCACAATTCCAACTGTGTACTCCTGTGAGATCCAGGACCTCACCAGTGGGCTGTGTCCATGTTTGAGGGTGACAATTCTGGCAGCTGAGTGTGAATATGAGAGTCATAATCTCGTCTGAGTGCTGTGTTTTTGTTTTTGTTTTTTGAGATGGAGTCTTGCTCTGTCACCCAGACTGGAGTGCAGTGGCGCAATCTCGGCTCACTACAACCTCCGCCTCCCGGGTTCAAGTGATTCTCCTGCCTCAGCCTCCTGAGTAGCTGGGATTACAGTCATGCGCCACCACACCTGGCTAATTTTTGTATTTTTAGTAGAGACGGGGTTTCACCATGTTGGCCAGACTGGTCTCGAACTCCTGACCTCAGGTGATCTGCCCTCCTCGGCCTCCCAAAGTGCTGGAATTACAGGCGTGAGCCACCGTGCCCTGCTCCTGTGTTCTGTCATGACACTTTCTGTACCACTCAAGGGCTTTATATGATATGTGTGAGTGTCATAATCCTCTGTTATCTTCATAAAAGTAGGAGACCCAGGACCTTACCGGTTGCCCTAAACGTATCTATGAGAGTCAAAATCCCTCCTATTGGCTGGGTACAAGAATGAGAGTTATTTTCACAGCTGTGAGTTGAGCCCAGGTATGTCACACTCTCACCTGTGGGAAGGAACAAGGCAAAAGAGTCACATCCCCTAGGTGCTGGGCCCAGTGTTATGTCACAATTCCTCCTGTAGGCAGGGCCCAGGCAGGAGACGTGAGTTACCTCACCTAGGTGATGGAACCGGTGATATAATTCCTTCTGTGGGCCAGGCCCAGGCAGGAGTGTCATCTCACCCGTATACTGTGCCCAGAAATATGTCACAATCTTTTGTGCATAAGGCCCCCCAAAATAAGTGAAATGACCTAGATTTTAGGCCCATAGATCTGTCACAAAGCCTTCTGTGGGCAGAGCCTAGGCAGGAAAGTGATATATCACTGGATGCAGCATGTAGGTGATGTCACTCTCCTTCCTGAACTCTGTCCCCAAGGGACATTGTGACACATCACTGGGCACAGCACACAGGTGATGTGACTTTTTTTTTGCCTGGGCCCTGATCTCAGGGGGCATTGTGACATATTGCCTTGCCCAGTACCCAGGGCAGGTATTAAGCGGGAGAAGAGAGTAACACCACCTAGATGCTGGGCTCAGGTACATGTCACAATCCCAGCTGTGAGCACATCCAGGGAGAAGAAGAGTAACATCTGGGTGCTGGGCCCAGTGATATGTCACAATGCAACCTGGCGCCGGGCAAAAGAGAACAGTCACATTACCTAGGTGCTAGGCCCAGTGAGGTGTCACAATCACCAATTGGGCAGGTCCTAGACAGGAGAGGAGAGTCACATCACCTAGGTGCTGAGTCTGGTAATGTGTCACGGTCCCAGAGCAGGGAGGGGGCAGGAGAGGAGGTTCACATAATCTAGAAGATTGGCCCAGAGAGATGTCACAATTTCTCCTTTGGGCAGTGCTAAAGCAAGAGGGTTACATTACTTGGGTGCTGAACCCAGCAATATTTTACAATCCTGAGGGCGGGGCTCAGGCAGAGAGGAGATTCATATCACATGGTTGATGGGCCCAGTGATATGTCACAATGCCCTCTGTAGGCAGTGCACAGGCAGGAGAATCACATTACCTGGGTGCTGGGTCGAGGAATATGTCACAATTTTCTCTGTAGGCAGGGCCCAGACAGGAGAGGCGAGCCACATCACCTAGGTGCTGGGTTCAATGATATGTCAAATTTCCTTGAGGGCAGGGCTCAGGCAGGAGAGTCACATAACCTAGGTGCTTGGACTGAGTATATGTCACAATCCCATTTGTGGGCTTGGCCCAGGCAGGAGAGTCAAATCATTCAGATTCTGGGCAAAAATATCTTTCACAATTACACCCGCAGAAAGGTCCAGGGATGACATTTACGATCCTGCACATGTCCCGGGTTATGTATGAGAGCTGATATCTCCGTGGGTTGGGTCCAAGAATGCAAAGCAGTCTCAGTGCTGGACTGAATCCCTGCATGAGAGCCCCAATTCTACCTGAGGTCCAAGAGTCATTATTCCACCTGTGGACCAGATCCATGTGTAAGAGTCACAATTCCAACCTTTGACTCACTCTTGGTGTGACATTCAAAACCTCAACAGTGGTCTGTGTCCATCTGGAAGGGTGACAGTCCTTACAGTCAGCTGGGTGTGCATGGGAGAGTCACAATCTCTTCAGCATGGTTGTCCCTATTGACACTTTCGGTGTCACTTGAGGAATTTACATGATATGTGTGAATGTTGTCATTCTCTTTGACTTTGGTACAAGTAGGAGACCCAGGACCTTATCCATTGTTGTAAGCCAGCCTATGAGAGTCAAAATCTCTTCTCTTGGCTGCGTCCAGGTATACAAGTCATTGTAGCATCTGTATACCTATGTGGGCCCAGGTATATTTAATAATCCCGCCTATGGGCAGAGATGATGCAGGAGAGTCACATCACCTAGGTTCTGGGCCCAGTGATATATTCAGGATAAATGAATTACAATTTTTGAAAGAAATATAGTAAAATAACAGGCCGGATGCGGTGGCTCATGCCTATAATCCCCACACTTTGGGAGGCCGAGGCAGGTGAATCACCTGAGGTCGAGAGTCCAAGACCAGCCTGGCCAACATGGTGAAACCTTGTCTCTACCAAAAATACAAAATTAGCCAGGCATGGTGGCATGTGCCTGTCGTCCCAGCTACTCAGGAGGCTGAGGCAGGAGAATCACTTGAACCCGGGAGGTGGAGGTTGCAGCGAGCCAAGATTGTGCCATTGCACTCCAGCCTGGGCAACAGAGCGAGACTTCACAGTCTCAAAATAAATAAATAAATAATAAAATACAAATAAATAAATTATTAATAATATCCAGACGAAACAGTTACCTGCATGTTCAAGTTATTTAACTTATATCATTCAAAAACTATAAATTTTTATAAATGATTGAAAAACTATTAAAAATGTATCTTTTTAGTTTTAAAATACTGTCATGTGGCCGGGTGCGGTGGCTCACACCTGTAATCCCAGCACTTTGAGAGGCCGAGGTGGGCAGATAACCTGAGGTCGGGAGTTCTAGACCAGCCTGACCAACATGGAGAAACCCTGTCTCTACTAAAAATACACAATTGGTCGGGCATGGTGGTGCATGCCTGTAATCCCAGCTACTCAGGACGCTGAGGCAGGAGAATCATTTGAACTTGGAAAGTGGAGGTTGCAGTGAGCCAAGATCACACCATTGCACACCATTGCCTGGGCAACAAGAGTGAAACTCTATTTCTAAATAAATAAAATGAAATGAAATGAAATAAAATAAAATAAAATAAAATACTGTCATTACTTCTAGTTGACATAACACAAGAATTCAGATGTTGTTGCTGTAGAAACTAGATGTCATGGTTGACTCCACTTTACTTCCGGTCTTTCTATTTTACACAATCAAAGTAGCACACCAAAGCCAGAAATGCTACACCTTGATTGCAAAAACACCAGTGACCTTCTAGTAAGAATATATGTGTGAGGATATTAACTTGAAATTCTTGGCATCTTTTGTTGAAGTACGGACTTCTATATGACAAATAATAATAATTAAAAAAAAAGAATTTAATACTGCAATAGAATCAGAAAAGTATTCTAACAATACCTTCTTATCAATTTTTTTTTTTCTTCACCAGAATGGTTGTGAAAGAGTGGTTGCAGTAGTGTGGTCATAAATAACCCATATTGTGTATTTCATCATTTTTGGTATACGACCATAAGGCTTTTATGCTTTAAAAAAAATGTTTTCTTGCCAGGTGGAGTGGCTCACACCTGTAATTCCAGGACTTTGGGAGGAGGCAGACAGATCACCTGAAGTCAGGAGTTTGAGACTAGCCTGGCCAACATGGCAAAATCCCATCTCTACTAAAAATACAAAAATTAACTGAGCATGGTGGCAGATATCTGTAATTCCAGCTACTCAAAAGGCTGAGGAAGGAGATTTGCTTGAACCTGGGAGGCGGAGGTTGCAGTGAGCTGAGTTCATGCCACTGCACTCAAGCCTGGGTGACAGAGTCAGACTCCTGAAAAAAAAAATATATCTTTTCTTAATTCAGGAATTTAACATGATTTTCACAGCCTCACGTTTTCAAAAATGGTTTATTCTAAAAGAGAAATGTGATTAAACCACATTTTTCCCCCAAAAAGAGTAGAGTAACAAATTATAGTGGACAGTTAATAAATAAAATATAAAGATGTAGCCATTTATTTTAGCTGCACACTTGGGGATAAAACACTTTTTGGGCTATAAACCAAGAGCTTTCAGAGACATTAGCTCATAAAACTTGGGGGGACCTGGTATAAAAACATTCACCTCTATACCCAAAAGAGACATAATTCTGTGTCTTTCACTCCTAATTTCAACTATTAACCCAGAAATGGAGAAATGTAACATGCCATTATACCACAAAGCATTTTATTATTTTTATTTTAGATTCATGGGGGTACATGGGCAGATTTGTAACTTAAGTACACTGCATGATGTCGAGGTTTGGACACTTAATAATTCCATTGTCCAAGTGGTGTACCTCATACCTGATAAGTAGTTTTTCAATGCTTGTCTTGGCTTTTTTTTTTTTTTTTTTTTTTTTCGAATTCCCAGCATTTATTGTTTCCATGTTCACCCAATGTTTAGCACCCACTTATACGTGAGAACATATAGTATCTGAAATACTTATATACCGTGTAATACCAAGAAACCACAGAAAAACATGTTCTTTGCAGCAACATGGATGCAGCAGAAGGCCTTTATTTTTTTTATTTTTTATTTTTTTTAACCTCTGAACTTTTTATTGGTCTCTTGCTCCCCAAAGGGTACCCTGCTTCTGCTGGCTCAGACAGCACTTTGTTGATCTCAGACAGCTCTTTGTCATCCACCCTCCGGCCGGTGGTTTTCTTTTGGATGGTTTGCATGGAGTTGCTGCTGTCCAGGGCATCACCAAGATTGAAGTCCTCGCCATCTTCCAGCAGGCGGCAGTAGGTGGCGATCTCAGCCTCCAGTTTGACTGGTGTTCAGCAGGGTCTCCTACTCCTAGGCCTGGTGCTGTCCCTCTGCCTGGGTTTGTGCCAACTCTGACTACAGGTGCAGCAGGATCCCATCGAGCTGCTCCATCAGCAGGGCGTAGAGGGCTTCCACGTTCCTCAGGCTGTCCTCCAAGCTGGCGGAAGGCCCTTATTCTAAGCAAATTAACAAATAACATGAATCTAAGATTCATGGGTACCTAGTTTAATTCTGTCTTTTCTATGGTGAATAGCACCGCAGTAAACATGTGAGTGCTGGTGTCTTTTTGGTAAAATAATTTCTTATTCTATGGGTATATACGCATTAATGCGATTAATGGGCCAAATAGCAATTCTATTTTAGTTATTTGAGAAATCTTCAAACTGTGTTCTACAGGGGCTGAATTAATTTGCATTTCCACCAACAGTGTATGTAGATTTCCTTTTCTCCACAACCTCAACATGTTTTTATTTTTGTTGCATTAACTTCTAAGGTGTTAGTTATGATTTTTTTTCTCTAGAGCCCTGTGTCTAGAAGAGTACTTTCTACATGTTCTTCTAGGGTTTTAATAGCTCGAAGTCGGCCGGTTCAAGCTTAAAGACTTGGGAGGGGGGGGGATAAAGTCAGAATGAACAGTACCGTTTATAAAAAAATAAAAAAATTAGGGGGTGGGTGTAGTCATACTCAGGTGAGGCAGGAGTGGGGGAGGGGGGAGCTTGCAGTGAGGGTCGTGATCCACTGGCAAGGATCTAAAAAAAAAAAAAAAAAAAAAAAAAAAAAAAAAAAAAATGAAGTTTGCAGTAGTCTTTCTTTTTTTTTTTCATTGTGAAAGGTAGGGTTTTTTTTTCTTCTGCATATGACTAATGAGTTTTCCCAGTATCATTTCTTTTTTTTTTTTTTTTTTTTTTGTTTTTATTTTTTGAGACGGAGTCTCGCTCTGTCGCCCAGGCCGGAGTGCAGTGGCCAGATCTCAGCTCACTGCAAGCTCCGCCTCCCGGGTTCACGCCATTCTCCTGCCTCAGCCTCCCAAGTAGCTGGGACTACAGGCGCCCGCCACCTCGCCCGGCTAGTTTTTTGTACTTTTCAGTAGAGACGGGGTTTCACCGTATTAACCAGGATGGTCTCGATCTCCTGACCTCGTGATTCGCCCGTCTCGGCCTCCCAAAGTGCTGGGATTACAGGCTTGAGCCACCGCGCCCGGCCTATATTGTGATATATTGTTTACATTGTGAAAGGTAGGGTTTTTTTTTTCTTCTGCATATGACTAATGAGTTTTCCCAGTATCATTTCTTAGATGGGGGGTTGTTTTCTTTTTATTTCTGTTGACTTTGTCAAAAGTAGGTTGTAGGAGTGTAGCTACAACTACACTCTCTCTTCTGTTCCATACGGTTTGGCTCTGTGCCCCCACCCAAATCTCACCTTGAATTGTAATAATCCCCACATGTCATGGGAGGGTCTGGGTGGGAGGTGATTAAATCGTGGGGGTAGGTTTTCCCATGCCGCTCTCTGAGTAGTGAATAAGTCTCTTAAGATCCGATGGTTTTATAAAAGGGAGTTCTTCTGCACATGCTGGCTCTTGCCTGCTGCCATGTCTTGCTTTCCCTTTGGCTTCCATCATGAATGTGAGGCCTCCCCCAGTCCACCATGGGAAACTGTGAGTCAAAAAATAAAAATAGGGGGGGGGGGGGGGGGGGGGAGGGGGGGGGGGAGCTGGTGAGTCAATTAAACCTTTCTTTTATAAATTACCCAGTCTCAGGTGTGTCTTTATTAGCAGCATAAAAATGGACCAATACAGTCTATATGTCTATTTTTGTACCAGAACCATGTTATACTGATGACTGTAGCTTGTAGCACAGTTTGAAGTCAGGTAATTCGATGCCTCCAGGTTTTATTTTGTTTGTTTGTTTAATGTTGACTTGGCTATTTTGGCTTTTAAAAAAATTCTCCCGTATAAATTTTAGAATAGTTTTTTCCCCTAATTCTATAAAAATGGCATTGACAGTTTGATAGGAATAACGATCTGCAGGTTACTTTAAGTGGCATGGACATTTTAATTATATTAAATCGTCAAATTCATGAGCATGAAATGCTTTTCCATTTATTTGTGTTTTGTCTGATTTCTTTTTCTTTTTTTTTTTTTGAGACGGAGTCTCGCTCTGTCGCCCAGGCTGGAGTGCAGTGGCACGATCTCGGCTCACTGCAAGCTCCGCCTCCCGGGTTCACGCCATTCTCCTGCCTCAGCCTCCTGAGTAGCTGGAACTACAGGCGCCCACCATCGCGCCTAGCTAATTTTTTGTATTTTTAGTAGAGACAGGGTTTCACCGTGGTCTCGATCTCCTGTACTTGTGATCCGCCCGCCTCGGCTTCCCAAAGTGCTGGTATTACAGGCGTGAGCCACCGCGCCCGGCTGTCTGATTTCTTTCAGCAGTGTTTTGTTGTTTTCTTTGTAGAGATATTTTACCTCCTTCGTTTAATGTATTCTTAAGTATGTTATTTTTTTGTGTGTGTGGCTATTGTAAATGGAACTCTATTATTTATTTATTTATTTTTACCTCTGAACTTTTTATTGGCCTCCTGCTCCCCAAAGGGTATCCTTCTTCTGCTGGCTTAATGTCTCAGAACTTTGGTGTCGTTGGTCTCAGACACCACTTTGTCATACACTATCTGGTGGGTGGTGGTCTTTTGGATGGTTTGCATGGATTTGCTGCTGTCCAGGGCATCACTGGGATTGAAGTCTTAACCATCTTCCAGCAGGTGGCAGTAAATGGTGATCTCAGCCTCCAGCTTGACCTTGATGTTCAGCAGGGCCTTGTACTCCTGGGCCTGGCACTGCCCCTCTGCCCCAGTCTGTGCCGGTTCTGACTCAAGGTGCAGCACGATCCCATTGATCTGCTCCATCTGCAGGGCGTAGCAGACCTCCACCTCCCTCAGGCTGTTCTCCAAGCTGGCCTTCAGATTTCTCATTGAGTCCAGGTCAATCTCCAAGGACTGGACTGTACATCTAAGATCTGTGAGCAACATCTCAGCAGCTACAACCTTGGCAGACTGCGTGGTGACCACTGTGGTGCTCTCCGCAATCTGCTGAGGCTAGTACTTGTCCAGCTCCTCTCAGTTCTTCCGAGCCAGCTCGTCGTATTTGGCCCAGATGTCTGCCATGATCTTGGCAGGGTCCTGAGCTTTGGCGGCAACTACCTCCATGGTCAACCCAGAGCTATCAACCTGGGCTTACAGTCCTTTTACTTCCTCTTCATGGTTCTTCTTCATAAGGAGCAGCTCCTCCATGAGAGCCTTGATCTCTGTCTCCAACTGCAGCCAAGTGACATAGGTGTCATCAAGGACTTTGCAAAGCCCATATGTGTCACTCTCCACAGACTGGCACGTGACCAGCTCTGTCTCATACTTGACTCTAAAGTCATCAGCAACAAGATAGACATTGTTGATCTGCAGAATGATGTGGGCATTGTCCACAGTATTTGTGAAGATCTGAGCCATCAGGTCCTCGATGGTTCTGAAGTAATGGCTTGTCTCTGACCTGGGGTCCCATCTTCTGCAGGTGCTCCCAGATTTTGCTCTCCACTTTCCGGTTCTCGGTCCTCAGGCTCCTCACTCTGTCCAGGTAGGAGACCAGGCAGTAGTTCAGGCTTTGCATGGTCTTCTCATTCTGGATGCCTCCCATTCCTCTCAGACCCCCGGCCATCCCTGCAGCCAGGCCCCTGGACCCCATGCTGCCTCAGAAGCTGGTGAAGCAGGACATGGAGATCCGGGAACCAGAGCCCCCTGTGCCTGCATAGATGCTGGCTGCGCTGATGACCATCTAGGTGCCTGGACAGAGCCCAGGGATCAGTAGTTGGTGAAGGTGGAGTGAGTGGTGAAGCTCATGATGTCCGGGTAGGAGAGCGAGAGGACAGGACTCAGGCTTTGCCGACAACCAGAACTGTGTTTTTGATTTTGTTCTCAGCTTGAATGTTATTCATGTACAGAAATTCTACTCATTTGTGTATGGTAATTTTGTATCCTGAGACTTTGCTTAAGTCATTTTTTAGGCTTAGGGGTCTTTTTGTGAATCTCCAGTTTCCCAGGTAGAGAATTATGTAATCTGTGAGAATAATTTGACTTTCTCTTTTCTTATTTAGATCCCTTTTATTTCTTTATCTTGTTTAATTGCTCTAGCTAGTACTTCCAGAACTATGTTGAATACGAGTGTTTAGAGTGGATATTCTTGTCTTATTTTTATTCGTATGGAGAGTTCATCCAGCTGATTCCGTTCAGTATGATTTCAGCTGAAGATTTGTCACAGATGGCTTTACTATTTTGAGATGTTTCTTTAATGCCTAGTTTGTTGAGAATATTTTTATAAATATTGGATTTTTTGAATGCTTTTTCTGCATCTATTGTGATAATCATGTTTGCTTTTAATCATCTTTATTTGATGAATCACATTTATTGACTTGCATATGATGAAACATTCTTGCATTCATGAACTAAAGCTCCCATGACTGTGACAAAATTTTTTGATTTGATTATGAACTCAGCTTGCTAATACTTTATGGAGAATTTTTGTTTTAATGATCACCCGAAATATTGGCCTACAGTTGCTGTTGTTGTGTCTTCACTAGATTTTGGTATCAAGATGGTATTGGTTTTATATAAAGAGTTAGGAAGAAATCCCACCTTGATTTTTTGGAGTACATTCAGAGGATTAGTACTGGCTTGTCTTTGTGTATGTGGTAGAATTTGGTTGTGAATTCATCTGATCTAGGGCTATTCATGGTTGGTGGGTTTTCTATTACCAATGTATATATTTCTGTTACTATTCTATAATGTATAATTTCTAATGCTAAATGTATAATTTCATTATACATTCTATTAATTTTTGCTGTGTTCAAGATTTTTGCTTCTTTCTGGTTCAATCTTGAGAGGTTGTGTGTATCCAGGAGTTTATCTATTTTCTCTAAATTTTTTAGTTTCCCTGTGTGGAGATGTTCATAGTAGTCTCTGAGGATGTTTTGTATTTATGTGGAGTTAGTTGTGATTTCACAACTCTAACATTTAAATAGATGCGGAATAAAAGTTTGACACATTCCCTAATGATAAATCTCTGAAAAAATTAAGTATAGGACAAATGCACCTCAAGTCAATAAATGCCACATATAACAAAAAAGTGCACAGTAAATAGCATACTAAACAGGGAAATGTTGTAAGCTTTTACTCTGAAAGCTAGAACAAGACAAGGATGACCACTTTCTTCAGTCTTACTAAATATAGTACAAAATGTCCAAGACAGAGAAATTAGAGAATAAAATCAAAGTCATCCAGATTGGGAAAAAAAGTTAAATTATTATTATTTGCAGAAGACATAATCTTAAGTATAGAAAAGCGCAAGACTTTACTAAGAAACTAACAAACAAATTCATTAAATTTACAGAATACAAAATCCACATGCAAAAGTCAGTAGCATTTTTGTAAACAATTAACTATCTCAAAATAAAATTGAAAAACAATCCTATCTACAATAACTGTAGTAACTATACTTTGAGATAAATGTAACCAAAAAGTTGAAACACCTTACATTATAATCTCAAGAATATTAAAGTAATACATAATACACAAATGAAAAATATTATGAATTGGCATTAATATTGTTAAATATCTGCATTATACAAAATGATTTACAAATATAATGCAACCTCTATCAAAATATCAGTGACAAACTTCATAGGAATTTAAAAATATACATCTAAAATTTATATGGTACCACAGAAGACCCTGAATAGCAAAAGCAATCAAACAAAACAAAAAAGGCCAAAGGTATTACCCTACCTGGATTCGAAATATGCTACAAACCTATAGTAACCAAAACAGTAGGGTACTTCAATAAAAAAGGACACATAGGCTAATGGAGCAGAAGACAGAAATGAGAAATATATTCATATACTTATAGCTGATTATATTAATAGTTGACAGTCTTTTAGGGAAATGACAGTATCTTCAATAAATGGTGTTAAGAAAACTTTATAGCCACATGCAGAGCAATAAAATTAGACCCTCATCTCACACCATATAAAAAAATCAACTTAAAATAAATTAGGTATTTAAATGTAAGGCTTGAAATTCTGAAACTAGTACAAAAAATATACAGTGAAAGCCCCATAACATTGGTGTGGGCAGTGACTTTCTAAAATTTAACCTCAGAATCCCAGGGAACCAAAGAAAAAATAGAGGAGTCAGATTACTTCAAATTAAAAAGTTGCTGCACAGAATCTGATACAATCAACAGGATGAGACAACTAAAAAATGGGAGGAAACATGTGCAAATTATACATGTGACAGGGGTTTAATATCAAAATATATAAGAAACTCAATTATAGAACAAAAAACAAATAATACTAAAAATGAGTTAAAGGCTTAAATATTTTTCAAAAAAGACATAGGCAAGAGATATAAAAAATGCTCAATATCAATTATTACCAGGAAAAGCCAAAAAAATAAATAAATAAAATTTAAAAAACTATGATTATCAACTCACTTCTGTTAGAATGACTTATTAAAAAGAAGAAAATATTAGTAAAGGTGTGAAGAAAAAGGAATGCTTGCACATTGTTGGTTTGAATGTAAATGAGAACAACCATTATAAAAAACAAAATAGGCCGGGCACAGTGGCTCACGCCTGTAATCCCAGCACTTTGGGAGGCCGAGGCAGGTGGGTCACCTGAGGTCTGGAGTTCGAGACCAGTCTGACCAACATGGAGAAACCCTGTCTCTAGTAAAAATATAAAATTAGCCAGGTGTGGTAGCGCATGCCTGTAATCCCAGCTACTCGGGAGGCTGAGGGAGGAGAACCGCTTGAATCTGGGAGGCAGAGGTTGTGGTGAGCCAAGATCACGCCATTGCACTCCAACCTGGCAACAAGAGCGAAACTCCATCTCAAAACAAACAAACAAACAAACAAAAATAAATAAAAAATAGAGAAGTCTCAAAAAATTTAAAATAAAACTATCTTATAATACAGCAATTTTAATATTGGATATATATCCAAAACAAATAAAATCAGAATAAAAAAATATTTGCACTTCTATGTTGTTTGCAACACTCTACAATTGCCAAAATATAGAATCAACAGTTCAACATCAAATGAGTAAATAAAGACAATGTAGTAGGCTGGGTGCAGTGGCTCATGTAATCTCAGCAGTTTGGGAGGCCGAGGTGGATCACTTGAGGTCAGGAGTTCAAGGCTAGCTTGGCCAATATGGTGAAAACCCATCTCTACTAAAAATATAAAAGTTAGTTGGCCATGGTGGCATGTGCCTGTAGTCCCAGCTACTCAGGAGGCTAAGACAGGAGAATTGCTTGAACCCGGGAGGTGGAGGTTGCAGTGAGCCGAGATGGCACTACTGCACTCCAACCTGGGCTACAGAGCAAGACTCTGTCTCAAAAAGAAAAAAAAAAAAAAGACAATATGACATATGTAAACAATGGAATACTACTTATCTTCAAAAAAGAAAATTCTATTATTTTCAATCACATGGATTAACCTGGAGGACATCACATTACCTAAAATAAGCCAGGCACATAAAGATTATTATTATTTTTGTGACAGTCTTGCTCTGTCACCCAAGCTGGAGTGCAGTGGTACGATCTCGGCTTACTGCAACCTCTGCCTCCCAGGTTCAAGAGATTCTCCTGCCTCAGCTAGGACTACAGGCGCCCGCCTCCATGCCCAGCTAATTTTTCCGTTTTTAGTAGACGGGGTTTCACCACATTGGCCAGGCTAGTCTCAAACTCCTGACTTTGTGATCTGCCCGCCTCAGCCTCCCAAAGAGCTGAGATTACAGACGTGAGCCTCGGCGTCCGGGACAGAAAGATTATTTCATAATTTTACTTACACATGGATCCTAAAAAAATGTAATCTCATTGAAGTAGAAAGTAAAATGGTGACCACCAGATACCAAGGTGTTTAGAAGGAGGGGTTGGAAAGATGTCAGTCAAAAAATACTTAATTATACTTGAATAGGAGAAAAAAT